TTGTAGGAAGAAAGATCCCTGGAATGCCTCAGTTTGGCTAAAAACGTGCAAGGAAGATTTATTGGCACGTCCACTTGCCCAAACCACCCTATACCCGGCAAACTGACCACGTAGCACCCAATGCTGCGATGCTTATCTTAACATTTTATAATTGCTTTATATGTCATCCCTTCCCTAATAGGAACTGAAGAGAGACCTCTGAATCCTAAATAGTGTTTGATATAACCATCTTATACGTTTTGCCATACTAAAGAAATAGTTCGAATTTTCTCCATTTGGTCATTATACATCTGAATGTTTGGTATGATAAGAATGAGAAAATATCTGATTGATTACACACCGTGTATCCCTTATCTTCACAGGAGTAGTACAAACAATGAATAAGATATAACTACAAGTTTAGGGTTATGACAGCACGTTCAGTATTTTTTTTATCTATTAATCATTTATTTTATTATCACTTTCATAGCAGTAACACACACTTGGTGTGGCAATATTACATATTCAGAGAAGCAGAGGTAATGAAATATCACTAAAGCATTACAAAATAAAACAATGGACATGTTAAAAAAAGTAAAATCGTTTAAATAAATTTGAATGAAATTGTACAATGTTTTGTGTAATTTTGTCATGGCCCCAATCATTGGTGCATTTATTTAATGTGTACATCATGATATAATCCAAACTATGTCCCAAAGTCATGTATTTATAATCACACCCCTCTCAAAGTTTCTTACAAAAGCCATTAGTACAGGGAGTACAGTGTCCAGAGCAGCTAATATACCTATCTATGGCATCGCATGATTGGCCGCTCACCTCTCATGCTATTTAGTTAAACGAGTATTATATACATCTAGCACTTAGACTAATTTTACAATTGAAGTTACGCATCAAGAATCTAAAGAAAGGCGTATTTTACATCACATAATAGTTAGTAAAGGCTGTTGTTTTCGGCAAACGAATGTGGTATAAGTTACATGTAGAAGTTAATATATCATATGTATAAGTTCATTATATATACATCTAGAAAAATACCATGATTGCATTAATAGAAAGTTTGCATTAATGAAGATTGAATTATCTTTTAGAACTTAAAAAGATAAGCCGTTAAAAAACTTATCACGGCCAACAGTGTCACGACCCACGTACGTTGGTGCGATGTATGATGTTTTAAAAGCCTAAGATACAAGACGACCACTCAATTCCAATTGTTACTCCACAGAAAGTAAAAAGTAACCTGTCTAGATTTTTGTAAGAATTGTCGGACAGCGGAACCACTGCCATATTTGAAATTAAAATATTACTAAATAGAGCTTTGCACATGTCAAAACATATGGACTTCTAAGTAAAGATGAATGCCGCTGATCATTTGGATCATTAGGATGGTCTCAAAATATCATATACATTGTTCAAAATATTCAAAATGGCTTCGATTAAAATTGCTGACACTTGATTGTTATGTCATGAATCAGAAATGATGCGGAAGAATGTCATGTGTTTTTATGTACAGATTTGTTGAAGCCTCAAGCCAGAATGCCCGCTACTTATCGCTATTGTCTGCTACCTTTTTCATAACACCGAGTCGCAAGGGGGACACCATCCCCCTCTGAGATTTTTTATTACATCTTTGATTCCGATATTGTAGGGAACCTTATTCAATTACCTCCTCAGAAAAGTTTTGTTTTTAAAAAATGGGACAAAAGGCTAATCGAGGTCAACGTGGCCTACGGGATGTACGTTTTTGTCATTTTTTGATAAATCGTTTTACTTTCACAATACATTTTGATGCAAAAAAAGCTTCACTGCCTTATAAAGAATGACAAAACGGCGCGTACTATGCATACTATGCACGGAGTTTGAAATACTACTGTTTGTCTCATGATCATCTGATTTAATACGAAATATAGAACGTATAGTACGTGAGACCTGGGTTGAGATTTACCTATTTTCTATTTTTGTGAAAAGTGCAACATTAACTTATGTGTCGGCAATCGAAAAACCACCGAAATATAATCACCACCGAACGGATGAATGAAACTATAAATCAATGCAGAATAAATGTCTTAAAATGACGTTTGACTCCAACTTGTATTATGCAATGTTGACATGCACGCAGTTTGTCAGTGTATCAAACTGCGTGCATTTTATGCACGCACTTTAGACACCGCGCCGTGAATATACTATCTTTGAAATGAAAACTAAAATATTGGTAAAAGCGTTTCTAAAATTGTAGTTATACAAGTTCAAAGATAGCATATATCGCAAAATCCCATTCAAATCAATGTAACGTGAAATGTAATAGTCAGCAATTTCTAGTTCAACTTGTTTTTGTCTTTAGTCTTCTATTTCAAGATAAACAACAAATTCCAATCGTTTGTTTAGTATGCCGATGTTTAATTTGTTGTTAAGTATGCCGGTGTTGTTCCAATATAATATCGGTCCATGCTGTTGCCTAGCAACGGCAGAGTCATCGAAATAGTGAAATTGAAAAATTGGGGTCAAGGGAGAATAAAAAAGTATATCTAAATTTAAATTGGTATCATCATTACAACAATGAGTACAATTATATTTTATGAATTACAACAATTCGTATGGATATTCAGGCAGGGATATGCAAAACAATTAGAAGATATTCATTAAGAATTTTTTTTAAAGTTTTTTTCTCCAAAATATGCAATTAACCGTGTTTTACCTTTATAGATTCATAACAGTGTCAATAGTGGCTCGATTTTCATGAAATAAAGCATATTGAAAAGATAATTCAATGTGCTAAATTACCATCTATCAAACAGAGCAATGGTCATATTTTGGTATTTCTTAGAGTATTAAAAACAAGGTACTAGACACAGTAACTATCAATATAGTTATATCATTAATTTGCATCAAAATGTCTATACGGTAAATAATATAATCATACACTCCCCTCCATAAGTTTGGCAACCTTTTTCCCCCATTGAACTACGTGTTAAAGCCTCTTTACGTTTGAATTTTTATTTACTCAACCGGCGATGAAATAACTATACTTTTGATGGAAACGTAACTTGACTTTATTTCCAATACCTCCAAATTTTCTTAATTTTTTTCCTCAATTACAATAGGTCGAAAATTGATGATAAATTTGATAAATTTTTGAAAATCGTCATTCCCATGTAATCCAATAGGAAATGAAGGGTTCGGGGCAAATCAGAAATCAGGATATCTTTTCAGTAAAAGATTCAGCAAAAAATATTTTTATATAGAAAATTGAATTGTCTAACTTTTTTTAACACTAAGTGTTTAGTTTATTTGATGAATATTAAAGTTACAGCGCTTCAAAGTCATTTTTGAGAATAATTTTTCGGGAGAGTTTTTTTGAAAAACAATTTTGACTTTAAAGCCCTACAACTTTGTTGAACCTGAAGAAACATATCTTGGATGGATGGATATTCTGTCATATGACTTGCGGCAAACCTACCATTTCCCATTGGTTAACATGGGAATGTCGATTTTCAAAAATTCATCAAATTTATCATCAATTTTCGACCTATTGTAATTGAGGAAAAAAATTGAGAAAATTTGGAGGTATTGGAATTAAAGTCAAATTACGTTCCCATCAATAGTATAAGAATTTCCATCGCAGGTTAAGTAAATAAAAATTCAAGGGTAACGAGGCTTTAACACGTAGTTCAATGGGGGAAAAAGGTTGCCAAATTTATGGAGGGGAGTGTATGTACAGGGAGGGCCAAAAAACGTTCATATTTTTATTTTTGTAATATCTTTTCTGATATTGTGGGAATATCCATAAATCATCAGAAAGATAATTCAATCTCCAACAAGATGATGGTTCAATATATGGTTCAAAATAAATAAATGGCTATTGGTGACTCAATTGTAGTTCCCGTATCATGAGGTAGTAATAGTCAAAAACAAGATTTTACTACTATGTTTTGAGCTTATTGCATAATATCACATTGCTTAATCAGCACTTTTAGTCTTTATATTAAATGAAAAAGTACTGGGGTTGAGTTAAATTGTTTGTTAGTCATTTATAGCTCTAAAATAATCATGGAACCTATGTTTATGCATTGTAGCTCGTTATAAAGTTATATTGATCGATATTGATATAAATATTTGCTTTAACCACGTTTTGCAACAAACGCAAATGAAATTTTGCCATAGCCCATTAAATGGAATAAATTTATATTATTTCCTCTCCACTGGCGTTCAACGTATCTCAAACATCAAGCCTAGTAACTCAAAAGTCACGGCATGTGTATCTCTATGGATGGAGTTTTATCAAATCCTTTGTTTTTATTCAATGATGGTTTTCTCAACCATGAATGATCTGCATTTGATCAAAAAACAAGATGCTTCAATTAAGTGGCGACAAATGGAGATTTATCTAGGGACTTCCAAAACGGCCGCCAGAATGCAGGATGGCTGCCGAAAAGTTAATCAGCCCTCGAACTTCATACCAGAATTTCTTACTAAATAACGTGTGGAAATTTGAAGTAAAATGTTAAGTGGTTTTCCTGGAAACACAATGACAAGACTAAACTAAAAACTAAAACTTCCAAGATGGCCGCCAGAATGCAAGATGGTTGCCGTAAAGTTCATCAGCTCTAGAACTTCTTACCATGTAACATGTGTGATAATATGAGGTAAATCCGTTTGGCGATTTTCCTTGAATCGATATGACAAGATTAAATTAAAAACTTCCAAGATGGCCCCCAGAATGCAAAATGGCTGCCGAAAAATTAATCATCTCTAGTCCTACTATGTATAATGTGTGAACATTTGAAGTTAATCCATTAAGTGCTTTACCTGGAATCGCTATGACAAGATTTTATTAAAAACTTCTAAAAAAGCTAATCCGCTCTAGTCTTACTATGTAACATGTGTGAAAATTTAAAGTAAATCTGTGAAGTGGTTTTCCTGGAATCGCAATGACAAGATTTATCTAAAAATACTATTTTAAGCAAAACAATTGATATTGGTGGTTAAATACATATCAAAACCAGTTATAGTTTTTCTTCGAGACTTTCATTGGTGATACTGACGTAAAGGCCTTCATCAAATTCATAAGTTCTCAAGTTTGGAGTGTCCCGTTGTAAAATGACCTCCATCTTGGATACAAGTTTAGAGAATGTTGGTCTTTCTTCTGCATTTTGCTTCCAGCATTCTTGCATCACATTGTATCTGCAATATTAATAAAGGTATGAATAGGTTTTGTTTTCGTTGATGTTTACTTGACATTTAAATTAAGAATTGATCACTATCAAATCAATATGGTTCCAAACTGAAACTTATGTTGACCCTGCATCGAAACGGGCGCCGTATTGGGAAGCAAAATATCGCTAAATAAATATTTGCGCAGAGTGCAAGTATACAATGCTTTACTTTGAAGCATCGACATCCTACTATTTCTCTGCATTTCCAAAACGAAAAATTAATTGTTTTTCATTACATGGTTTATAGAATATATTTACCCGATGGGGAAACTAGTACTTAATATATCACATATTCACGGGGTGCCATCGAATAATTTTGGCAACGTACCGGAGAACGACATTTTACTAAGAAATGGCAATAATTTAGCACAATATATTTTTAACAAGAGTTCTATTTTGATTTTGACAAAAGTAAGTATTCCATGCAATAACTATTTCATTCATGAGTTTGTAGGAATTCTGTTGGAACCCAGTTCTGATCAAGTACGAAGTTATTGAAATCGGCGCAGACGGACTTTACTCCGAAAGATGGTTTTTCGATTATAACTTTTCACAACATTTAAGTATAGACTTTTGAAAAAAGTACAGAATAGTCCTTATACTTTTGAATAATTCTGTTATTTCTGATTCACACGACTCTGATTTGTTTAATTAAAAAAAAAGTTTTAAAAATATTACTTAGGAACGTAACCGGAGCTGGGAACGTAACCGGAGCAGATTAGTTGAATTATTTAATCAAAAAAATTAAAATATATGATTTGTAACATGGTCATTTTCACATTGTTTATATTTCTACTTTTCATATTGACCAATCCCCATCCATGTCATTTTAACAGGTCCCTTCATTACTTTACACCAGTGTTTCAAATATTTAATTCCAATGTTTTCAATTCTTTTGTATACTTTCTACTTCACACTACCCTACCTCGATCGCGCATGCGCGAATCTTTTGGCTTTTAAACATGTCGCTTTTGAGTATATCGACTGCTTAGTCAAAAGGTTAATACGTTTGGTGCTCGGAGTGAGTCAATATTGCTATTCGCTACACTTCAGTGGTGCAATAGTGAAGTCCATGTTCCAAGTTATATGATAGTTGAAGAAATAATGTAAATAATATCGTTTTAAATTTTTAAATATTTGATATGTCATAGTACACGGTACACAGCTGCAAAAGTTGATCAATACAGGGTACAAGGAATGTAAATTGTTCAATAGTACAGGGAGCGAGAAAGTAAGCTGATTATACAGACATACTATGTCCCGACCTCATGTACATTTACATTGCAAACAGTGAAAGTAATGCTAAAAAGGCCGCCTGTTGATGCTTTGAGGTGTCATCAATTGTTATTTAATCCAAATAAAGTAAACATTATTTTGTAGATTTAGACACGGGCTTTCAAGTCGTATGCATTTTAGTCATTAAATTAACAAGAACACTAGATTATACGTGTTACTAGAGTCCATTTCACTGCTTCATTTCGTCAGTAGAACGGCAAATATAAGAAATTGGGAGACCATTGTGCAATAATATATGGAAAAGTATATTCATAATGTACATGAATGACATTTGTATATCTTGGATTGCTTCTAGTTTGGCTTATAAAGTGTGTGGCCTCTTATATTTGGATGTTTCTCTGCCATGTTATTTTCAATATGATTAACATGGCTGAAATTCTTCAAATTACAAGACGGCACAGGCTTAAATTGCACAAAAAACTAAAAAATCTGAAAGATACAAATGTCATTCATGTACATTATGAATATACTTTTCCATATATTATTGCACAATGGTCTCCCAATTTCTTATTTTTGCCGTTCTACTGACGAAATGAAGCAGTGAAATGGACTCTAGGGTATCAAATTGAAATAAAATAACGAAATTAAATATCAACACGTTAATGATAAATGACTATCCGCTATCAGTATTAATGACTATTTGCTACTCAGAATAATTAAAATTGCCTGAACTACATATGAAGAATCTTTCTATAGAACCCCTTGAATGGTCTAATTCACTACCGTCCTAAAAACCCGACCATTCAAAACGTTTTGTTCAAATTCACAAAAATACAGTTGACTAACATACTAGAAAACGTATCCACATATAACACGATGACACGCAGTTTAAACAACAGTTAAGTGTTTTTTTTTGTTACATATCAATGTAACATTTTCGAAGGGACACTTACATGCTCCCTGTACGTTGATAGATTTACTGAAATGTATCGTGTATTGCATTTGGTTTTGCTTCACTGCGCCCACTATTATCTATCTTTGCCTATAGTGGTTTTTTGCCAACAATATTCTACACACTCCTTGATGAAACAATTCTATGTCTGGTAGAACACTAGAAATATATGTAAAATGTATTTTACGTTCAGAAATATGGAATTAAACCCACGTCCTCCATTTGCAACTAAGCTGTACCCTGTTTCCCTTTTAAACGTGGTCACGTGGTAGGGTAGTGTGACTTTATCTTCCTTTATTTAAAGCAATTTTTAGCTTTTCATGGTGTGATTGTTTCGTACTGTTTTTGTATTCCATATAATAGCATTCACTCACATGTAGCTGAGTTTGGGTGTTGGCCCAGCCTCAGTAGTTGCTTAGAGTTAGATGATAATGTAGATTGTACAGAGAACGTTTGAAGTTTATTTGAAATAGACTATTTTATATATTTTAACTTTAGTTATCTGTTACTTTTATTTGCCACCCACGGGCCTTACACTCGCCCCGTTACATATTTAAAGCACATATACTAATTTAAAAACATACGGGATTGTTCGAATGCGTATTTATTACATTTTATTTAAAGAAAAAAATTATCCATTGTGAAAAATTAAATTTGGTATTTACCATGCATAAGTGCACTTACCTTAGAAAGGCCATCAAACATAGAACAATCATTGTATGGAGAATGAAGTGATTAAATGTAGTAAGCAAATAATTCCATTTGATTTCACCCATTGTATTTGTTCAGCGAACTATTAGAACCCACTCTGTTATACTAATTTCTAATTAATTTCTAATTTATACTAATTGCCATGCATTGATTTTCCTGTAAGTGAAGGGTAATAAATGCTCATTTTAACATTCATATGTGTTTGAAAATAATAAATATGCTTTAAATCATATATTGTATTTTTTAAAATTATATAATTCAACTGATCTGCTCCGGTTACGTTCCCAGCTCCGGTTACGTTCCTAAGTAATATTTTTAAAACTTTTTTTTTAATTAAACAAATCAGAGTCATGTGAATCAGAAATAACAGAATTATTCAATAGTATAAGGACTATTCTGTACTTTTTTCAAAAGTCTATACTTAAATGTTGTAAAAAGTTATAATCGAAAAACCATCTTTGGGAGTAAAGTCCGACTGCGCCGATTTCAATAACTTCGTACTTGATCAGAACTGGGTTCCAACAGAATTCCTTCAAACTCATGAATGAAATAGCCATTGCATGGAATACTTACTTTTGTCAAAATCAAAGTAGAACTCGAGTTAAAAAATATATTGTGCTAAATTATTGCCATTTCTTAGTAAAATGTCGTTCTCCGGTACGTTGCCAAAATTATTCGATGGCACCCCGTGATATTATACAGTAAGTCTTTGTGATGGCACTTACATATCTTCATCACAATGTTCTGGTTTGTCCATCAGTCTCCCAGATTTCACGTGATTTCTGACGTCATGAACGGTCGTTAGTCTTGGATAAGGGGTTGCACCTGGAAATTAAATGTGTACATATGTAAAGTGGGTCAAAAAACTAGCCAATATTCCTGAGAACTATTTATATTTTAATAAAAAAAACACCAACAATGATATTTTGAAGATGGTTTACTTTGCAATGAATATGCTCAAGATCCCCCTCTTCTGACTCGATTTATTATTTTAAGATATGGAGTCATTGGTTGATTGCACGATCGATGGATGTCTGTAGTTAATGAGTAATGTAAAGGACCAGGTTTAGTATGGCAAATGATTTCAGACAGTCGTATCTTTCTCCTTTGGTAATGTCTGGCCATAAATATAATGTTTTTAACTAAAACAATATGTTTTCTTTCAAGTGATAGTGAAAATATAAATCTAGCTCTGAAAAAATACATTTCCAAAGAAAATGTTTTGACTTGGGGTCCTTATTCATAATTTCTCGAATCGTCCAATTGATATTTTAATATCCTTGAGAATGTACTCGGAATATAAAATATTGTGTTGATGAAAAGTGTCATATTTAAATTCGGAAAGTACTCATGGTGAAAATAATGGCCGCCAAAAATTACTTTCAGTACTAAACTCGGTCCTTTATTTGTTTGAGGTTACTATAAAATGTACTTAAGTTTATTAAAATGATTAATGATGGAAAGCAAATACAGAAAATAAACAGGAAAATATAGTAAATGAAACAAGAATTTAAATACTCAGACGTCAACAATCATTAGGGAGATACAAGTACGCTATACTATTCATTGATCATATAAAAACTCAAAAATATGTTTTATGTCCATTCAAATAATATGAAGTTTAGCCATTGTATCCGTTGTTTGTGTTGCTACTTTAATATGATAGAACAGTGCGTGAAATACCTGTTTCGGATTCTATTACCGCCTCCCCATGAAAAATATAAATTCACTTATATTTCAAAATGAATGCACTGGTTTAATTATGACATTTATGTGCACGCTAGTATCTTGTTGACCTATATTTAGCACTGCGTTGATGAATGGGCTACTTATTAGGTCAATATTAAATCATGAAGTGTACAGGTGTAGAAGCCAAATCAGGTGTCTTTTCGTGTCTGTCAAAATCCCTTTGCATCCTACGCATCCCTCCATTTTATCCAAATGTGTTATTAATGAATGAAATACCATTGAAAAATCTATGGATTTACAAAGTTTTATGACAATTTGCTAAGTGAAAAATTTGTTTTTGGACATTTTTCTAAAGCCATTTTGGATGGGGGAAATATGAAAAAAGTTTATAATATTTTGATTTAAACATGTTAAACCATGAACTGACTCAACCTCAAACTTCATATTTGCACATCTCATATGTGATATACCATAAGTGTCATAATGTGAAATTATTTAGTTTGATGTCCGTTCAAGTGATAGTGTATTCTCAGTTTTTTGTAATAAGCAAGATAAACTAATGGGACATATTTGGATTTGATGTTATACCCATGTTAAGTCAATGGAGCACATCTCCATGTAAGTCGGTTATAAACTTGCTGAACTTAATGATCCAAATCTCACCCCATGTGTGTCCAAACACTTAGATATTTCCAAAGTAATATCTAGCATTATTATATCACTATCTAGCTAGCGACAGTATGATTGGTCAAAACCGGGTCACATGTCGTGGGATATCTGGCGATATTCAATGGCAATGCTAATCAGAAAAGACAACCGTGAGATATCTAGCGATATCCCACGCTCCCGGGAATTTTCAAAGAATTTGTTCTCGTTCAGTGTAAATAATTTAGTTACCGAGTAGATTCAATGTATTTCAATGTTAACCTATGACTTAATAATATTAGGGATGTTTAGCTAGACAGTGATATAATAAAACAAATATTTCACTCTATTTTCGGTGAATACCTGTAGCACTTTCACAAGGTGATATTCCACTTGCCCTTCGGGCTTCGTGGAATATCACTTGTGAAAGATGTACAGGTATTCACCTCAATAGAGTGAAATATTTGTTCATTATTATATCACTATCTAGCTAGCGACAGTATGATTGGTCAAAACCGGGTCACGTGTCGTGGGATATCTGGCGATATTCAATGGCAATGCTAATCAGATAAGACAACCGTGAGATATCTAGCGATATCCCACGCTCCCGGGAATTTTCAAAGAATTTGTTTTCGTTCAGTGTAAATAATTAAGTTCAGTGTAAGTCAAAATGGCAGACGAACCGAGTAGATTCAATGTATTTCAATGTTAACCTATGACTTAATAATATTAGGGATGTTTAGCTAGACAGTGATATAATAAAACAAATATTTTACTCTATTTTCGGTGAATACCTGTAGCACTTTCACAAGGTGATATTCCACTTGCACTTCGGGCTTCGTTGAATATCACTTGTGAAAAATGTATAGGTATTCACCTCAATAGAGTGAAATATTTGTTCAATGTTATCTTCATTTTGCGGCTAATACATTTCATTTTGACCATGGGAGTATTTGGCACCCCTTCCTTTGTGTTTTTCAATATTATAGTGAATCCACAATACATTACCAAATGTTAGTATTTCCCAAAGGAGAATACCATAGGCCCAAACATCATTCTTTGTTGTGTAGATATTGTGGAAAAGAGCTTCAGGAGACATACATCTAATTGGAAGACGGCCCTACAATATGATGCATATTCAAATGTCAGTATTTCCCTATATTAGGTCTATACAGGGCGATAAAAAAAACGCAACAAGTAGTTATCTCGTAAAATCACAAAACTAGTAATGACTACATCAATTTCATTCAAAATTCCATAAAGCTTTGTAATGATATGTCATTCACACGTGGTAATGGCTTGGTGAGAAATCTTTTCATTTGCACAGTAGGTCAAAGTCGGCTCTGGACCAAGTTTTAGATATCGAAAAATCAGTGCAAGGGCTAAGCGCCAATGGAAATTCCCCTGACTTGAATTGTTGTGACTTTTCTTTTGGAGTTATCTCAGGAGCATCTGTGCTCACGATTCCTTCATCTGATTTTGCAAAACCTCGAGAAAGAATTGCCCATGGGCTGCTTTTCTCTGCTTTAACCCACAGATGACTTGGGGCTGAACCATGCATGATGTGGACAGATGAGCGCATCTTTATATGCAAGGAAGTGGTGGCAATTTGGAGGGATATAGGATATATCCTTGCAAGAGTATGAGTATGAACACTTTAATGTCTCTGCCACACCTGTCACACCATCTTCCAATAGCCCCTATGCCCCTTGCACTGACTTTTACAATGTTTAAAACTTAGATCCAAGCTAAATTTTGCCCCACTTTGCAAAATTAATGATTATTCGGCAAGGAATGTCTCTCTGTGAATGATATTCCATTGCAAAGAGGATCTAGAAGTAATTTGGCTTTTTGGTAAATTGAATGAAAATGGTGCAGTCAGCATTGGTTTTATGTTTTCTTCCAATATTGCATCGGGCTCTGTACACCGACTTTTGCTATGTTTATAACTTGGTCCCAGGCTAATTTTGGCCCACTTTGCAAATGGAATGATTACTCGCCCAACCATGACCAAATATCAATGAATGATATATCATTGTAAAGAGGAGTCACATGGTGCATTGAATGAAATCAGTGCTGTTATCACTGGTGTTGTGCTTTTCCGAGATAACCATCTGTTGCGTTTTTTGATACACATTGTTCTGTACCATAGGCAGTGAAGACGCCAAAACATGAACAATTCGGAATGAGGTAAAGTGAAAAAATGATAAAATTATATTTTTACCAAAACCTGATGAAAACATAATTTAATAGTATGTAATTGATCCACGAAATGATTTTAGTATACTCACTCGATTTTTTCGTTATCTATTTATGTCTAAACCAATGCTATTGGCCATGCCGACGAGGAAAATCATTAGGGAAAGTGAAAACACCATTGGTTTAATACTTACTTCTATGTGAAAAACAAAACAGTTTGAACAATGGCACAGACTCCAGTTCAACACGTGTAACTGTATTTAAAGATGGATTGAATGGAAGTTCTTAAAGAAAAGTGACAAAGTAATTGAATACCCACATTTGACAAGAGGTTAACAAAACATAAGTTTCTTTTTGTTTTTTGTATTACGTATTTCTCGTGCAAAAGAAAAACATGAAAGAATATATGAATAAACTGTTTAAACACAAACCTTACAATCAAAATATAATTTGTATCAACGGTCACATTTGTATTCAGCGATGAAGTGTTTCTTGCGAACAATTACGAAGAGTGTAAAACATATTGACGAGGAAATTGGCCCTTTTTGGCTCGGCTCACTAATATGCTCTGGTTTAATATGTTTGCTACAAATTAAAGATACTTAATAATACATTTTATTATCAGATGAAGTTTCAGAGGTCTGGTGTAAATCATGCTCTTTCTATAAATTAATGCATGATACAGCGATAACGTACAGTAAAGAGAAGATGGTGTGCACGTTTCAATTTTTGTTCATTTTATATCGTAATGAACCAAATCAGCAGTGATCAGAGAGTTGATGTGTTACAAATTTAATATATGACTTCTGGGGATAAATGAATTGATTTTGAACCTGAAAATAACGTTTTTTATAACAAAATATTATATCGTTTCTGGTAGTATATTACATAACACATTCCAGAGCGGATTCCTCCCCGGTCATAGCTCTCAGTTACAACTAATCTCAATTATTGACTATTTAACTACTTGTATCGACAATGGTGATCAAATATTTGGAGTCTTTCTTGATATCTCAGCAGCCTTCGCCACTTTACCACACACTCATTTGAACGCTAAACTCAAAGGATATGGTCTTGGCGCGGATATTCTGAGCCTCACTAAATCTTATTTGAAAAACCGAAAAGTAAGTGTTGTTATTGATGGGCACACCTCTGAGCTATCACCTGAAAACTATATCAATGCCGGTGTACCCCAGAGATCTCTTCTCGGACCGTTATTCTTCCTATTATATATTAATGACATGCCTGATAATATTACCAATAAGTGCTTTATCTATGCCGATGATACGTCAGTCTATTGTCCTTACTCAATTGATAACTATATTGAAAAAATGACTACCCTACAAGAGGACATGGCCTACATTATTTCTTAGTCAAACAAAAGGAACCTCCAATTTAAGGCATCAAAGAGTGCACATGTCATCTTCCACGGCAATAATTCCTTCCTACGACTATCCACTTGATCTTGATGACAAAACCATAACCAAAACAACCTACCATAAACACCTAGGACTCATATTGGACACCAAGTTAACTTTTAACTTGCATTTAAGCATGCTCGTGTCTCGCATCGATAAACTTCTAAACCCACTTAAAGCACTTGAAGACTAAAGTCTCGGGAGTTCACCTATCCATACTGTTTAAATCGTTTATTCAACCTCATCTGGACTTTTGTGATATTATTTATGGGTGTGGCAACATGACAAAGCTCAGACTTCTTAATTTACAATATAAAGCAGGCATTATTGTTTCAGGATCTATCTATGGTTCAAACAATTCTAAAGTTTTGCACTGAATAAACTGGTTACCACTCGAAACAAGACGCTCACACCACCGTTCTAATCTCGTGTATAAATTTTCTCGAAAATCATGCCCCGCCTATATTCAGCAAATCTTTGAGCGCTATGGACGCATTGATGACCATCGCGAACCGCTTCGACTTTTAACTACCAAGGGCATGTGGCGCTATATTGTATAGATCTTGTGTATTTAAGTGTATAACAGAATGGAATAACATTGCTGCTGATACAAAACAATCTGAAACCATTGACATTTTTAAATCAAAAATTCGAAGTCTCGCCTCTAAGAATAATATTATATCAACCGTTTCTCTGAAAATTACCAGAAAGCGAGAAACGTTTTTAAATAGATTAAGATGTGATTTGCTTCAAAACTCACAACTCAACTCACATAATGTTAACACCCATCCTACTCCTATCTGTGCCTGTGGAAAAGAGTAAGATAGTAACAGTTAGACACTTTCTATTTAGATGTGATCTCACTAAAACATTCATCAATTCAATCAGTTAATAGAAATATTGTCTATAGATTACCCTTTACTTCATTTTAACGATATGAATCACACTTGTAAGATAAATATTTTCCTATATGGCTCCAAATATTACCACCTCAAAACTAACTTTTCCTTGTTGCAGCTTAGCTGTAAATATATGGAGATGGCTGTCAGAGACCGTTAGGAGCTAACATTCCTGGGAATGTAACACATGGGAAGTTAATAAATGCTTAATTTGCCTATTAATACCATGTACAAAGGGTATTAATGTCCAAATGGACACAACCAAGGATAAAATTGCTTAAATAAATAAAAAACAAAACAAAAAAAACTCAGCAGTGGGACAGTCATACAAACGGATTGCATTTTTGTCACTTATTCCAAGAAAGAATTGATTCCATACTGTCGTAATAGTTCCTGTTACACGACTGATAAATATTCTCTCTTCTCTTTTGATTCAGCACATGGATGTTTTTCTTTTTGAATCCAGGCACGTCTGTAGTTAGCTTACCTGTCTGTGCATACGTACACTAACTAATATATAATTCCTTATTGAATTAAAACAATGTAATGGGGAAAAGTTTTGGAATAAGTGAGTAATGCATAACACCTTTCATGTATTGGATAGAGATAGATAAGAAGCTTGAAAATCAGTTTGGTCGTATACAAGCATATGTTACCAACCTCCCCCCTCTACTTGACTAAATTTTTTCCCCAACTTATGTTGTAGTGGGGGGGGGTCAAAATGACTTGTAGCTAGACTACAAATAAGTGAGAGCTGGCCATTGTCTAATGTTGATAGATGAGGGTGGGGTGGGGGTGGTATATTAAGATATGTCTATGTAAAATAAATAAGTAGCTATGGAAAATAATTGGTAATCGTTTGCAATTGGTTATATTAGTTGAGATATCTTATGCCAAAGACTGAAGAAACAAATATCAGATGTTGGCGTATTCATTGCTTTTTGTGAGAAACGTGAAAATAAATGTGATATTCTCACAAAATATATTCTCACAAAATGAGTCTCAGCAGAAACTTACAGACTGGTTGCCATTTTGATTTTGAATTTTTTGTTCTGAATTTTTGGAAAATTAAAACATTGGTATACTTTATTTACACTCCTCATCGTAAGTTTGACAACCTTAGCTCCCCCCTTGAACTACATGTTAAAGCCTCTTTACGTCTGAATTTTTATTTACTCAACTGGCGATGGAATAACTTATAATATTGATAAAAACGTAACTTGACTTCATTTCCAATACCTCCGAATTTTCTATTTTTTCCTCGATCCTCGATAACAATTATATAGGTCGAAAATTGATGATAAATTTGATGATTTCTTGAAAATCGTCATTCGCATATAATCCAATGGGAAATGGAGGGGTTTGAAATCAGGATATCTTTTCAGTAAATGATTCAGCAAAAAATATTTTATATACAGGGTGGTCCAAAAAAGTGAACCCTTGCAACGGGCTATATTTTCCTTAATACATGCATGAATTGGCTCATATTATCAGATCCTGTAGAGAAAGGTCTAACATTTTTGTTGAAACCAAAATGTATTCACAGTCTTAAATTTTGAAGAAATTACAAACCTTACACAAACATAACTGAAATTAGATATTGAGCAAAACGTTACCAGTGTGTTTACCAATGGAAATTGGTGAAACACATCAGATGATCTTAAAAATGGTTTTGGTGAAAGATATTAGTTTAAAACCTTACCATATGACAAATGGGGCACTATTTGAACGGAAAACACAGTTTTCATTTCCATTGACCATTTGGAAGCAGTTGTAACCATTTAACAGTTAAGGGACCAAAGCTCTTACAAAAATCAAAAAGAAATCTAATATTCAGTGTTTTGAGCCATATTTTATTAGAATTGGTCCATAATTAATGAAGATATTGACATTTTAGGACCATATAGGGGTATGTTGCAATTTCACTGGAAGATGAATTTGTCTTTGGAAACTAAGAACATTTCTTTGGATGACAATAGCTTTGCAACTGACGGAGACAGGGTGCTAATTCTACCACCATAAGAGGCAGGATTCAAATCCAAACAAAGTCAGAAAACATTAGGTTTCTCAGACAACGTCTAAAATAATTGATGATTTGCGATCACCAGATGAATCTATCTCGCAGTGACGTCACAATTAGGCTAGATTATCTTCTTTATTTTGTATTTTATATTTTTATTTTATATTATTTTATTTTGATTTATTTTTCACAAAAGTTTTCTATTTGACCAGATCAACATTTATCCTAAGCACATGCCAAGTTAAGTTTAACTAAGTTTTAGTTAATGAAAACACAGAACGATATCCAGTTAAGCGCCCCCCGATTTTGAAAAACAGGGGGGGGGGCGCTTATAGGCATCGATGTTTAGTATGGGTACCTAGTATGCCACTATTTGGTATCAAAACAAAGAGGGGGAGTTCAACTTTCAGTTCAATTACGAACATAGCGATGTAGGTCAAAATAGTTTCGACGTGAGAATGTTTACTACGCGTTTGCCCGTCATCTCAGAATTGAGGAAATGGTAGCAAACGCGAGTTACAATAGATGGACGCTGATATCTCAAAAAGTAACCCGACTCCCTATAATTTAATGTAGATCAATCGAACCCCTATTAATGAACCGGTACATTTTGATATATAACACTATGGGGGGGGGGTAAGCGTTTTATAGTTGATCACGAACGTCATATTTGCAAAGTATTGACGGTTATGAATTTTCAAATTTAGTGTTGGATTACGGTACTCATACCATAATATGAGGCCTAAAATTGTCTGCTAGTTGGCCAGGGACTAATATTCTGGCAGGATTTGAGAACAGAATCGATTTTTTTCGTTCTGTGTAGGGCAAACAGTGATTTAAAATCACTTTCAACCCTTCTGTGAGTATAAAAATGGTCATAAGAGGCCCACGGAGGGTCATACATGAAAGAGAGCCCTCTGAAATTCCGTCAAAATTGCAGGTTATTTCTTCATTTTTTTGCTAAAATTACATGATTTTGATGGCCCATATCTCCCTGAATAGCGATTTTTTAAATTTTTACAGGCTATATACACATGTCAGGTCAACAGAAACAGTAAGCATGTGTGTATTTAAATTGCTACATTGTAGCAAGCAATATTTATTTCAATATACAGATGTGGGGGAAACTGCTATTTACTTAGATTTGTGCGAAAATGGCCAAATTTAAGTCAAAATCCTCGGGACATAGGGCCTTTGTCGTAGATTTAGTCAATGATGCAACTCTTAGTAGAAGGTGTGCTATATAGGGAATGAATGCTGTTTGTCAGACGTATCATTTTCTTCAATAAACTCAGAGAAAATCAGGTTAGATTTGTGACGTCACAGTGGCAAAGTTAGACTAGCATATTTAGACTATTTGGGTAGGGCAAATTAACTCTTTTTAGCCTAAATGGATACTTTTTTCACATATTCAACCAGTTCCGACGTCTTTATTGCAGGGACAAAACATAGTGTGATGTCATAAAACATTAATATGAGGCCTAAAATTGTCTGCTAGTTGGCCAAAGACCAATATTCGAGCAGAATTGGAGAACAGAATCGATTTGTTCGTTCTGTGTAGGGCAAACAATACTATGAAATCACTTTCAACCCTTCTGTGAGTAAAAAAATTGTCAAAAGAGGCCCGTTGAGGGTCATGAATGAAAAGCCCTCTGAAATTCCGTCAAAATTGCAGGTTTTTTCTTCATTTTTGCTAAATTTACATGATTTTGAGGGCCCACATCTCACTGAAATTGCTACAATGTAGCAATTTTTCATTTTTACAGGCTAGATACACGTGTCAGGTCAACAGAAACAGTAAGCGTGTGTGATTTCAAAATAAACCCGTAAGGGAAACTGGAATTTGCTTAGATTTGGGCGAAAATGGCCAATTTCAGTCAAAATTCTCGGGACATAGGGCCTTTGTCGTAGATTTAGTCAATGAATCAACTATTAGTAGAAGGTGTGCCATATAGGGAATGAAAGCTGTTTGTCAGAATGTTATTTTCTTCAATAAACTCAGAGATAGTTTCCCTTTCTAGACTAAATGGATACATTTTTTCACGTATTCAGCAAGTTCCGACGTCTTTTTGCCGAAAAAAGTTGCAGAGACAAAAATCAGTGTGATGTCATTAAACATTAAGGTGTGAGGTTCCATATCCATCCGCCAAGAGGTATGACCCCTATATACTCCATTTAAAAACCTGTGGTATTGTTCTAAATAACGCCATAGTTGGCCTCTAGGTTACCTAGTATGCCACTATTTGGTATCAAAATAAAGGGGAGTAGTTCAACTTTCATTTGAATTACGAAAATAGCGATGTAGGTCAAAATAGTGTCGACGTAAGCATGTTTACCCGTCATCTCAGAATTGAGGGGGGGGGGGTTATAGTTGATCACGAACGCCATATGTTCATAGTATTGTTATGAATTTTGGAATTTGGTATTGGATTACGGTACTCATACACCTCATGTCTAATATTATTTTTATATGACGCCACACCAATAAGACGAAATATATGACAACAGTATCCATAAACAAAATACCTGAACTCTAATCGCAAACGGTCAATTTCCACGGGAAGATTGTTGAAGGGTTGGAGAATCGCAAATGTTGAAGTTCACATTTATCGGTTTTCAGTGATGTTTGGTTAGGGTTTATAATTTCTGCAAATATCAAGGCTACGATAAATGTATATGGTTCCAACTAAAGTTTTATACCTTTCTCTGCAACATGTGATAATATCAAAGGATTTCTGCATGTAATAAGGGAAATATAGCCTGTTGCAAGGGTTCACTTTTTGGGACCACCCTGGAAAATTGAATTGTCTAACTTTTTTTGTACCACTTTAGTTTATTTGATGAATACTAAAGTTACAGTGCTTCAAAGTCATTTTTGAAAATAATGTTTCGCCTCTGGACGAGCCGGACGTACGACAAACGGAACTGAAGTACTTCGATGCTACTAGGGACATTTTCACAAAAACTGTCTTAGGACGTATTTAGAACGAGCTAGAAGTAATTGCAAATGGGCTTAAACTTATTAAGAACGTATTACAGACTGGGTATGAACAAGTTAGCAACAAATAGAGCGATCACACCAAACTAGTTGCCACTGCGTTCTTCAAAACGTTCCCGAACTTGTTTTAAACTGTTTAAAAACGGGATGGACGTAGCTGCAACTATTTAAGGTCTATTTACGAACTTCATGAACGTTCTCGGGCAGGAAGGTGATTTTAGAATTTTGAAACATTTTAAAAGTCGTTGGCGACTATACCGTTCTGTAATCAGGTCATGAGACAACGTACGATATTAGCTACTACACTAGGGACGTAATTATTTTTGTCAACGAGACGCGTGTTATTATACTACGCTGTGCAATAAGATATCGATTGCAGTACGTTCGCACATCGACGCAGTGCGACCTGAACGAACGGCGAATGCGATGGACTTATTAAAGAGTGTTTATGAACGAAGTTGCTAATTAATTTAGAAATATTTCCCGCCCGCGTGCAGATTTATCCCGTTTTATGACTTTTTCGTATGAAGACTGGAAAGATCGATTGAGAACTAGTTTGATGTGATAGGGAGATTGTTTTGAGCTCGAGCAAATGGAAACATGCACGTAACCCCCCTATCACACCAAACTAGTTCTTACCCGTTCTTGCCAGTCCTACGAAAACGTTGTAAAACGGGCTCAATCTGGCTGTTGTCGGGAAATAATTAGCTTCTTCAGTCTTAAACAGTCTTCAATACGTCCATCTCGTTCGCAGTTCGTTCAGGTCGCACCACGTCGGAGTGCAACGTCGTAGAACGCGTCTCTTAGTCTAGAAAGTCAACATGACCTGATTACAGAACGGTATGGTCGTCATCGAATTTTGAATCGATTCAAAATTCTAAAATCACATTCCCGTCTGAGAACGTTCATAAAGTTCGTAAATAGACCTTAGAAAGTTGCAGCTACGTTCATTCCGTTTGCACACAGTTTAAAACCAGTTTTGAAGAACGCAGTGGCAAATTGTTTGGTGTGATAGCTATATTTTTGCTAACTCGTTCATAAGCAGTGTTAAATACATGTACGTTCTTAATCAGTTTAAACCCGTTTGCAATTAGTTCTACCTCGTTCTCAACACGTCCGCAGACAGTTCAACTCGTTGTTAAAACGTCCCTAGTAGGATTGAAGTACGACGGTTCCGTTCGTAGTACGTCTAGCTCGTCGTTAGTACGTTGTCACTCGTTCTTATTGTAGAACGTGACGACCACGAGAATATTTTGAGCATTGTCTAAGTTCTAGAGGACCTACCCGTTCGAGTACGTTCGATGAAGTTTGTAAATAGATCCCAAACGGTTCTTAGTAGGTCCAGTCCGTTCGTATACAGTTGAAGCCCGTTTTCGAGAACGCAGTGAGAACTAGTTTGGTGTGATAGTAAGGTAATACTTACTGGGGACTTTGTACTGTACATCTCCTTTGGACCTACATCTCTTGAAAGACCGAAGTCGGAGATCTTGCATACTTTGTTTGCACTCAGTAAGACATTTCTGGCAGCAAGGTCGCGGTGCAGGAACTACAAATTAAGGATTATACTCTTTTACCGTACTTTCACAAGGCACAGTTACAAATGTGTAGATATTGTCTAAATTCATTGCAGAAGTTCAAATTATGAGAAGCGATGGTGTCTTACTTTATTTAATGATATGTGTTCCATTCCTCTGGCGATTTGCCATCCAAACTTAGCAAACTCTTTACTGATAGTCATATCGCTTTTCTGGATGTAGTTTTTTCGTTTTCTCACTAAGTAGTTATACAGGTCGCCCAAGCTTAGGTATTCAACAAGTATTATCGGGTTACCTATTGATAATCAAAGTAATATGAAATTTGTTTACGAATCTACGAGTTGCATCGCTATTTCAGTGCATTATTAATTTTAGTACATGAAATCGCATTATGACGTATTAAATATATATTTGTATTTATTTAATGTTTGTTTTGTTACTATTGTTAACGTTTTTTATTTATTGTTCATTTATGGTTTAAACACATTTACATGTTTTTCATGGGTAAGTCTCTGGTCCAAGCAATCCGTCTTGAATTTATAAAACGGAAGTATACGGAATTTGATGTCTTGTTTCTTTGCACATTGAGCTATATGCGCACTTACAGATAGCATTCTTTTAGTGTGCACTCGGACTCGGTTAAATTAAATTTATAACAAATTTAATAACACTTTTCAAAATTGTATTTCAGGTGCCATTCCATTCAATTGCTGTTCATGTAGTTATGGTTTATGTTTAGAATAAACCATAAATGATAACATGTTATATTAGATTGACTGGCTGGCTGATAATAATCAATCTTCTACAAAGTTTTGACAACTTTCTTTTTTACGCTTTGATGAATGGAAACAAAGGTAGTTATTTCGCTAAATCCCAACATATACCGATAGGACGTGGTGTTGGTGAGACCTCCGTTGATTTAACATTGGGTGCAGATTGGGTGGGACCTCATGGCAATTCGTTGGGCTTCATTATGATTTGCCCGATGGGATTCGTTGGGACTTTGCCCAATGAAGCCCATTTAGTCCCATGAGACTCGAGGGACCCGATTCGGTATCACATGGCAGAGTCCCACGAAGCCCCATTGAGAATGAACCTTTTAATTCGACCCATTGAGTATCTTTGGACTTTTCATCATGGTATATTTGTCCATGGTATGGAATCTATAGGACGTCTAATAAAGGAGCTGGTAGCACACTATAGCGCAGCGATATTGACCTAACATTAACGTACCTACATATGTTCCCTAATAATTTTCATTATAACCGTTTAATATACTTCCGGCTTTTAGGCCGAATTATGCTTGCCATTAACAGAGGTAAAACTTACCCAAACATGAAATCCCAATTTTTCACATGGGGTACACAATGAAACAGAAAATAATACAAAATGATTTTAAATATATATTTTAGGTTTCTAAGCTATAAGTTTGGGGTTATTTTTCTTCTTCAATACCAAAGTCATCAGTGTATCGGCGTTTTGTTTTGTTTCTAATAAGTTTGTTAATAAGATAAATGCTACAAATCACTTTTATATTAGAATGACAAATGCTTAAATTATGCAAGTTTTTCACAAAATGGGTCTCAATACGTTTCGAGATATGGAGTTTTATTCAGCGCTGAACATTAGCAATCAGAAGACCTATTACTATTCCTTGACTAATTGGGACAACAGCGAGCGAAGTACTATTTCTCGTAGTTAGATATAGCTCAATTGCTTATAAAACAACATTCAAGACCTGGTCGAATTTATGAATAATTTAGACAAATCGTTATCATTATATTCCTAAAATTTGATTGTCTACAGCGGTAAGGTCAAAGAAGAAACAACCATCAGGAAACTTGATGATAGCCAGCTGTTACGTCGAGGAAGAATTGTAAGGCGTTCGATTACATACGACTCTAATTGATTATTTGACATGCCCTTTGAAATTATGAACAGTATGAACATTCCAATACCTCTGTAACTTTCAATTAGTCTCATCTATTTGTTATTATATTATGTTTTATAAAACATGAACAATAATTTGTTGACCCCTTGCGATTACATGGGAAAAATTCTGGTAATAAAATTTTTAAATGGTAGGGAAACTAATATGTTCCCAATCATAAATTACCTAAATATTCAACACAATTTTGTTGAATCTGCTTGGCTCATATTTGAAAAATCAAACAAAATCAGAAAAACACACTTGCATAATTTCACTAATTAAACACCGACATATACAGTAAAATTATAGTATATTTTTATATTATGAGAGACTGGAAGATTTGAGTTAGAAAGGCATAGAGTGTCTCTGGTGCATGTTTGTTCTTTACAATCCCTTTATTCATTCAATACCTATGATCCCTTATGTCTTTTGATAGATTCTCCTGTTTGTGTTCCCATTCCCAACTATTTTGAACCACCATGAGCATTGACATTACTCAATATAGAGCAACAATTGGGACATGGTACCTTATTACAAGAACATCAATATTTACTTTTAAGAACAAATATTTTAGAATTCCAAATCAGCCAAGGCCTTGTAAATTCATATCAATTGCATATCTTAATATAGTTTTGCACATCTTGTTAATTATAGGTGGTGTACAACCAAACCCAGGACCCATGAAGATTTTCCCAACCAATTTTTCTTTCTGTCATATTTACACCAGATCTCTTAAAAACCACCACCAGAAAATTGATGAAATCACTTCTATTGATCTGTGTGTCAGCAAGCAGTTTGATGTTATTGCTCTCAGTGAAACATGGCTCAATGATAATGTTAAACCAGATGAGTGATGATATTTAGATTCAAAATTATCAAAGACTTATTCGTAAATATAGAAAAAGAGCCAGGTGGTGGTGTAGCATTTTATGTTAAAGAATCAATTCCAACTACCAGACTGTTTAATTGTGAACACAATGGCCTAGAATTAATTTTGCTTAAACTCAAAATTGGACCAAAAACTGTGATCATTGGAACTTGTTATAGACGACCTGGTATGAACGGGACTGATGGGACTCGACACACAATGCTAGCGAAGTGGGAAACAAGCTTGTTAATCTTATTCATGGCTTTAACTTATTTCAATTATTTACAAACCTACGCGATGATATGCTATTCTTGACTTACTGATTACTGACTCTCCTGCCTTTGTTTCACAAGAAGGGGTTGAACCTCCAATAGAACTAGCAAACCTAGATCACAGTTACATTCATGGGGAACTTAATCTTAAGCATAATGCCACAGTAGAATATCAACGTACCATTTTTGATTATAATAACACAGATTTTATTAACCCCAATGATCTTCTATAAAGTGCACCATGGGAAATAATTTACTGTGAAACTAAACATACAAACACAGTTGTATCTAACTGGTATGAATTATTTTGGACGATAATTGATAGCTTCATGAATAAGAAAATAATAAATATTTCTAGTAAAGATATACCGGGGGTAACCAAACAAATTAAACACAAATTAACAAAAGGAACAAACTTCATTCCAAGTGGAAAAAATCAAAAAATATTGCAGACTTTTACGATTTCGAGAGAAAGCAGCTGAAGTTAATTTTTAATTTCTCAGAGCAAAAAAATAGCAAAGAAAACTTGAAACTAAAACTGGCAGATAGAACGACTACTTCTAAGATGCACTTTAAAATTTTGAAGATGATGTATGGTCCAAAAGTTTCACAAGGTATCCCCTCTCTAATTGAAAATAATGAAACTTTTACTGATTCAAAAGAAAAGGCCAACTACTCCAGTAAAAACATAAAAAATAAGTGAATTTTTTTTATGAGGGGTACTATGATAAGCATTTATATTTTCTGTTGGGTGCCCCTAATCACATTGGAATTTTCAGGGATTATGCATTCATATATAGTTAGTTGTCATGCAAAGTTTGATTTTGATTGGTCAATTGGTTACCATGGCAACACAATTTAATTGCAAAATATTGTAAATATTAAGGATAAATCTACTGTTTCCCTACAAACCCTTTTTATTTTTTCAAAATGAACATTAAGTTGAGCTTGATACATATTGAAGGAGTCAATTTACCACAAAGTGGGCGTGGCACTTTTTGTTATTTCAATTCCAAATAATTCCATGTTGACAAAATCATATTTACAAGGGTAATTAATATTGTTATTTTCTGGTATGGTGAGTCTAGTCATCTTTTGTCGATTGGTTGCCATAGTAACACAACATAATGTATGTAAATTGTTGGTAGAGGTCATTTCAGGTATTCCTTGTTCATTAACAAATTGTTTATTACATTCATCCTTAAGAACTGTTTTAATGTATGATCTTTTTTAACAAATACAAGTTTGGATAATTGATATGCGTTTGGTATGGTAACACAACTAATAATGCAGCTGTTTGTTCAAATACTGCTCTGTTTGTCCGTCTGCCCGCCTGTCTGTCTAAGCATTTCCTGACCCATTTACTAATCACAGATTGGTGTTATATGTGACAAAATGGTGATTCTTGACATCTTAGACTCTAGAAGATGTACAAAAAATAGACTCTATAGGCTGTATCAATCTTAGATTATGATTGTTGTTCCCATTTTAGACTCTGGGGGATGTACCCATTAAACTTAGACTATGTAGGCTGTATCAATCTTAGATTATGGATACCGTACCCATTGTAGACTCTGGAGGATGTACCCATTAAACACTAGAGGCTAAACTCTCTAAGATTCTAGAGGCTGTACCATCTGAAGACTCTTGGAGGCTACACCCATCTTTGGCTATGGAGAGGCCGTACCTCGAAGGCTGTTCCCAGAACTCATCAAAGGCTCTGGGGGCTATATCCAGTGTAGACTATGGAGGCTATACCCATTATAGATTCTGGAGGCTATATCATCCTAGACTCTTGGAGGCTGTATCCATTGTAGACTATGGAGGCTGTACCATCTCAGGCTCTTGGAGGCTATACCATCTCAGACTCTTATAGGCTGTACTATCTTAGACTCTTGGAGACTGTACCTATCTTTGACTCCTGACTTTCATAGAAATCATCTGAAGCTATACCATATTAGTCTCTGGAGACTGAATTCATATTATACTCTGGAGGCTGTACCATATTAGACTCTGTAGGCTGTATCAATTTTAGATTATAGAGGCTGGGCCATCTTAGATTCTTGGAATCGAAGGTTGTAGCCATCATAGAAGTAGATGTACCCATTAAACTTTTGAGGCCATATCATACTCTAATTGGTAATATTAGTCGTAGACTATACCATTTTCAACTTTGGAGACTGAACCATCTTGAAGACTGTACCATCTTAGACTCTGGAAACTGA